ATGAAGGGGCTGGGCAGGGTGGGAGCTGGACTAAGTAGAACAGCGGTCGCCAACCTTTTGGACCTCATGGACCACCGGCTGGAGGCCGCTGAACTGGAAAACTGATGTGGGGAGGCCCTGCTGCCTGGAGACATGCTCCTGCAGATCCACACAACCTGTGGACGGGTACTCGGGAAGAGGCGAGCCTGGCTCCCCGGACAGCCATAGCTTTTCCGGCTCCCGGTGGGAATGGGCTTGGGGGTGGGCAAGGGTGGGGTGGAAAGGCAGGAGTGAGAAAACCTAGGTGCCTAGAGAGCGCATGCCTCTTGCCTTCCAGACCAGCCAGCCCACCTTAGAGACCTTCCAGGACCTGCTGCACAGACACCCTGATGCCTTCTACTTGGCCCGTACTGCCAAGGCTCTGCAGGCACACTGGCAGCTCATGAAGCAGTATTACCTGCTGGAGGACCAGACAGGTAACTGGCCCCATGAACTGGCAGAGTGGGTATGCATGTGTGAGTATTCTGGGCATAGTTGCCTTCATGTGCCCTGTAATAAGTTCCTCAGTGGCTCCCAGTGTCTGGTTCACCTCTCTTTGCAGCAAGAACCAGATCCTTCTAGAGGGTGGGACAGTAGCTGGAATGGTCTTCAGTTTCGTGGCAAGGGTAATTTCAGCCAAAATTGCTTGGAATCCTGGGCAAAATGTCTATCATTTCTGGTTGTTTTGTTTGGTTTTTGGCATTTTATAATTACACTAGAGCCCTAGTGCACAAAATTTGTGCACTGGGAGTGTCCCTCAGCCCAGCCTGTACCCTCTTCAATCTGAGACCCCTCTAGGGATGTCCGATTGCAAGATCGGGCCTAAACTGATAGTCAGACATCCCTCTCACAATCTGGGACTGCTGTCTCCTAACCACTCGTCTGCCTGCCTGGCTACCCGATTGCCCCTAACCACTCTGCCTGCCAGCCTGATAGCCCCCTAACTGCTCCCCTGCGAGCCTGATTGCCACTAAACTGCTACCCTGCCAGCATGATTGACACCTAACTGCCCTCCCCTGCTGGCCTAATTACCCCCAATTGCCCTCCCTTGCAGGCCTGGTTGTCCCCAACTGTCCTCTCCTGCCAGCGCGATCACCCCAACTGCTCTCCCCTGGAGGCCTGGTCACCCCCAACTGCCCTCTCTTGCCAGCCATTTTGTGATGACATGGGGGTGGCCATCTTGTGGGGGCAGCCATCTCAGGACGTGGGGGCGTGAGGGTCGATTTTGCATATCACCTCTTTATTATATAGGATAAGTAATATGTTAATATAATCCTCATAAATAACATTCAAGTATGAGCAAAATGTGAACATCCCCCACAATGCTCATCCTTTCCCATTTCTCACCCAAGAAATGATACCCTTCCCTCTCTTCACCTTTCACTCACTGCCTTTCCTCCCACCAACAGTCAGTGCTGCCATTCAGAACCCCCACTGGGACTTCACACCCATCCTTTTGTCCTTCTTCCCCAAAGACCAGAATGCTCCCACTCCATCTCTTCCCTCAGCAGTAAAACTCACTCCTAGTGACAGATCAGGAAAGCAGTCTGATTAAACTGCAGGGAACGCTTCAGTGGATTTGGATTCAGGGTCAGACTTGCATAATGCAGCGCACGCTGCTCTTTCTTCCTAAAGGTTATTGCCGTTGCCTTCTACATTGTTGTTCACGTTGTGAAAAGGAAACTTTGGTCATGCCCTTCACGTTACCATCTGGGTCCTGCAGCTCTGGCTATTTAAAGACATTCCTACAAGAGGATTTTAGGAAATCTTGTCAGGAGGAGGCCCATCGTTCTTCCCTAAGGATCTCTGAATTTCGTGCCCAACAGGCAGCCCACTCCTCCGGCCCAAATATCACGGAATTCCCACAGAGAATGGATCCTGGATAAATTTATTTTTGCTATTATAGCTAGCTCCTTTGTCACTATTTTGAAAGTTATTTTGTGTAAACTTATTTGCTAACATAAAGGTTTAATTTTTCTCTCCAAGAGTTCTTACGTGGGTATTTGATTTCTCTTTGCTATTTAGAACTAGGAGTCCCTAGGAACAGGGAATGCACACTGCTTAGTTGTTAAGTCAGTTGAATAGTAGGGTGGTGGAATTTCAGGCAGCTGTGGTCAGGGAGGAACTTGGTGGCAGTGACCACCCACCCCATCTCCCCACACAGTCTGACCTAAGGAGGCCGGTGTGCTGGTGGAAGGAACGTTGGGCAGGCGGTGAGGACACCCAGTGTTGTCAAACTCCTCAACCGACAGTTTCACAGCCTCTAGCTAGTGGGAGCTGCTACTGAACAGACACTCGCAATTGTGGGAACAGCCAGCCTTAAGGCAGAAGTTCTCAGATTTTGGAGGCCAGGTCCCTTTCACATTTTGACTAGGAAAAAAAAACTGAGAAATTTTCATGAAACAATATTTATCCTGAACATACCTAATGGGCTCTGATATTATCCTATGTCCATCTCATTTTTGGAAAAAAATGAAACTAATTTCACAATTCATTAACACGGTACAACTCACAGTTGAAAAACACTGGTTAGGGTAAGGTAACTCCTTTTAGCACATCTTTTCTAAATGGGCTAGTGCCTCAGCACCTCGCTGAGGGCGGCAGAAAATGCCTTCTCTGTTTATAATAGTTCAAGGCTGTGTGAGAGCCCTTCACACACCAGAAAAGCCCACATGAAAGGTCAAACTTAATTCCCTTCCCTTTGCAGAAGCAACCTCAGGCATGCTTTGTGCCAAATTAGCAGGCAGCCTGATCTGACATGCACTCCAGTACCTGTATTGGATTAACTTTTGTTCATTTCAGCATGAGCTGATCCCACAGGCTCAGTCTGTACAGTGTGTCCCCACATTCAGAGTCTGCTCAGCAGCTGGAGGTTGGTAGTAGCATCGGTGCTGACCCTCCCTCTGTCCTTTGTTCAGTGCAGCCGCTGCCCAAGGGGGACCAGGTGCTCAACTTCTCCGATGCAGAGGACCTGATTGATGACAGTAAGCTCAAGTGAGTGGCTGGGGCCACAGGCGGGATGCAGAGAACCATGTTCCCCCTGGGGCAGAGTGCTCAGGTTACCGCTCCTGCTGCAGAGAACGAGCCAGCCCAGTGTCAGCCTCTAGCTGTAGTGATTGGCACCTGGTCTTTCTGCTCATCCCTCACCTCCCACAGCATCTTACCCCCCAGGCCCCCAGGAAGAAGGCTGGGTGGAGACCAGAGAGCAGCCTCTGGGACCGCTGGGCTAACTGGCTGAGGGAGGTCCTAATGAGCCGGGAATACCTGATGGTGATAGCAAGTGAGCTGGGCGTGGAACCTCATTCATTCTTCTCTTTTCCCCTCTCAGGGACATGCGAGATGAGGTCCTGGAACATGGTGAGTGTGCCCTGGTGGGGACAGCAAGGGGGTGGGAGCTTCTGCCCGGACAGAGAGGACCAGTACTAGGTGCTGGTGACTTTGGTGTGTCCCTCCTTACTACCCCAACTCACCCCAGAGCTGACAGTGGCTGACCGGCGCCAGAAGCGAGAGATTCGTCAGCTGGAACAGGAATTGCATAAGTGGCAGGTGCTCGTGGATAGCATCACAGGTGAGGAGGCCAGGGGACCAGGAGGGGCCCTTCTCTCTTCACCCCACCCTGGGCGCCTGATTGCCTGGCTAGGTGTATCTCCCTTTCCCTCAGTAGACCTTGCCCTGGCTCCCTGCCTTCTGCCCTGTAGCCCTAAAGGGTGGCTCTCCCCCACACAAGCTGCTCCTTCCCCAGGCATGAGCTCTCCGGACTTCGACAACCAGACGCTGGCAGTGCTGCGTGGCCGCATGGTGCGGTATCTGATGCGCTCGAGGGAGGTAAGGCAGGCCCAGCTCCATCCATTCTCGTTTCTCTTCTCCATCAGTCTTCCCATCATTCCCTTTCTGTGTCTGGTCCCTGATTTCTCATCTTCTCCTGGCCTGTGTGGGCCCATCCCCAACCCTCACTGCCAGCCCTCACCTGCTGTATTTCCCCAGATCACCTTGGGGAGGGCAACCAAGGATAACCAGATTGACGTGGACCTGTCTCTGGAGGGTCCAGCTTGGAAGATCTCCCGGAAGCAAGGTACCAACAGGAAGCAGTGAGGCTTTCTCTCCTGGTTTCTCGCTGCCCTCTGCAGCCTTGGGGCATGGTCTCTTCGGAAACTGTCATGGATGAGCTGGCGTTTCAGGATCTCTAATCTGGAGTCCTGGGTGCCTTCCAGCCCCCCCCCCCCCCCCCAGGAACCAGAAAGGGCACCGGGGGCTTTGCGCTCTTTTCTGGTCTTCCCCACACCATCCTCTTTTTCTTCTGTTTCATAGGTGTCATCAAACTGAAAAACAACGGTGATTTCTTCATTGCCAACGAAGGCCGGCGGCCCATCTACATCGACGGCCGGCCGGTGCTGTGCGGCTCCAAGTGGCGCCTCAGCAATAACTCTGTGGTGGAGGTGCGCGGGGCGGGAGAGGCCACAGTGGGACCTGCCTGGGGTGTGGTGAGCCATTATGTGGGCCTGGCTTCCAGTCCCACCTCTGTCCTCAGCCACCCTTCTCTCCTGCTTACAGATTGCCAGCCTGCGATTCGTCTTCCTCATCAACCAGGACCTCATTGCCCTTATCCGGGCTGAGGCTGCCAAGATCACTCCACAGTGAGGTGTGGTGGCAGGGCCCTCTGGCCTGTTTCCCCTGCCATTCCAGCTCCCTACCTAGAGCTGGGAACTTGGGCTCCTGGGAAAACCAGAGTGGGTAGCGAGAGACCCCACTGACAGCCCACTGATCTGAGCCTTTGCTGGGTGAGGCAGGGGAGAGGGTTTGGGGCTGGCCCTCAGGAACCCCTAGAGGCTGGGACTCTGCAGCTCCCGCAGATCCAGCGCCCCTCTCAGCAGACTACCTTCCTTCACCCCAGATTCCTAAGCCGTGTCTCCAAGCTGACTAGCTACAGACTTTTACTGTATTACTTTCCTTTTGTAAATAAAAAGCACTGAGTTCCAAAGTAGTTTCTTTCATTATTACTTTTTATATAAAAATGTGGGACAGGGGAGTCAGGGCACATGCAGGGATGGCAGAACCTCCCTTCTTGGCCTCAGGCCTCTGTCTCCCGGCTGCAGAGGGAGACAAGGAGGTCGGAGGAGCAGGCTGAGGGGACCCACAAGAAGGGGCCAGAGCATTACTAGCTGGGGCCTGTCCCTGAGGCTCCAGCCCCCCTCCACGAGAGCCCAGGGCCAGGCCTCTTGGCTCGCAGGCTCCTGCCCTGAGCCAGCAGGCAGCTCGGAGTCCCTGGGGCTGGCTGCCACCCTTCCTGTACCCCGAGGCTGGGCAAAGCAGCAGATGGCAGCATATCTGGCAACAATGAGTTCTGGTGCTGGCAGTCAGACCCCTGTGCCTTCTTCCTGGGTCCACTGGACCGTGCCAGGGCCGTGGCAGCCAATAAGCACCATCTCTAGGCTGTGGGGTTCCCAGGACAAGGCCAGGCCCCCTGACCCTGGCGGGGGCTCTCCAGTGCTGGCAGCCTCGGCCTGGCTCCCAGGATCCAGGGGCTCAGTCCTCGCCTCTTCCTCAGGAGGCGGCGAGCCGGGGGTGCTAGGCTCCAGGCGGAGTTCTCCTGAGCCTGGTGGCTCTGAGTCAGAGGTGGAGGTCCAAAAAGCTGTTGTTTGAGGCCAGGGGGAGCTCTGAGATGCTGGGGGACCCCAAGGCCAGGGTGCCATGAGGGGAGGGGCCTCCGGACGAGGGTGGGGCAAAGTCCCACTCAAGACAGAACCAGCTGGGGGCTGCAGACAGTAGGAAGACACCCCCGTGTCCACACACAGAGGCTGCAGGAGTCCAGAGGTGCTGGCTGGGCGTGGCCCCTCTCCTGGTGCCTGAGGGTGGGGCGCCAGGAGGAGCTGCACTGCCTGGCGCAGGGACTGCAGTCCCTCCCGCATCTGCAGCACCTGCTCAGACAGCTCCGTCACCTTCACGAGGGAAGAGGGAAGGTCAGAGTGGAGTCAGGACCTACAACACAACAGCCGTCTCCCTGCCCTCCCTCCACTCCCCCCTCACTCACAGCCTGCCGAAGCTTGTCCAGCATGTCTGTGTTACTCGCCTCACTGGGTCCGAGGGGGAGGGTAAGCAGGCTGTTCTCTGTGGACCGCAGGATGAGGTTACTAGCCAGGGTCCAGGCCTCTGCCCCAGTTAGTACAGAAAGGGCCCAAGTTAATGAGTTCTGCCCAAACTGCCAGGGAGCCTCAGACTCCCTGCCCCGTGCTTTCTCAGCAAGCTGCTTTCTGTGCCTGCTCTTGTTCTGTCCTCAGGGACATGGACACTCCTGGGAGCTCATTACCTGGACCACACCCAGGGCTCATGGCTTGGCTGGGGCCATTTTTAACTCTGCCTCAGCCCTCTGCCCTGCCAGTGAGCCAAAAAATGAGCTAGGGGCCTTAGCAACATTATCTTAACAGGCACACAACCATTTTACAAACCAGAAGCTGAGGCGAGAGCCAAGGTCACACTGCCAGAGCGTTGATAGCAGAGATCCAAACCCTGTTCCCAGCCACCCTCCACCACCAAGTCCTTAACCACCAAACTCCCTGCCCGTACCATGCAGAGGGTGAGGGGAGGGCTTCTAGCAGCCTCTGTGTCCGGTTGGTTTCTGAGGTTCACAGAGCAAAGGGAGGGCCCTGCCAACCTCCCCCCAAGCACCGGGTCCCAGTACCTGGTCCAGGGGAGGAGGAGCTGCTACATTCCGGGGCAGACTGCCCCATGCGGAAGGAGAATTTGGGTTGGTCGGAGCCACAGCCATCCTCAATGCCGTCTACTACCCTGTGGACACAGGCACCAGGACAGTAAACCGACAGGTAGCCACTGCGGTGTTTCTTGGGACAAGATATCCCAGTGTCCTCATAAAGAAGTTACAGGACCCAGGAGCCGGGACAGGGGCTTGGGACCCCAAGAGAAAGGTAATATGAGAGGTCCCTTCTCTTAGGAGATTGCAGTTTCACTGGGGATCCAAGATTGAGAGACATTCAACAGCAGGAGAGTTCTGAGCCGAGTTCTGAATGGGGGGTACGGGAACTCCGGAGGTACAGTTGGTCAGAGTGTGCAGTTGTATGAATGGGGGAGAGGAGAGGCAGCAGGGAAATGGGGGAGTCAGGGAAAGCTTCCTGGAGGAGGCTGGGAGGATGAGGAGGCAGGGATGGGCACCCAGGACAGGGGTGTGTGGCCGGGGCCCTGTCCTATCAGCACTATCGCTGCCCAAGCGTAGCGGCCCCGCGCCTGCTCACCTGGGGCTCAGGTCCGGGGGCACATTCCACGGCGCAGGGGGCAGCTGCAGCCCCTCTAAGCTCCGAGGGTGTGCAGAGGGGCCAGCTTCCGCCCCCGCCCTACCTGGCCGCCCTCTGCCACCTAGACGGGACCGGGGTGCAGTTCGGCGCGGGGACAGCAGCTTGGCGGCTGAGGATGAGGAGGTGCAGCCTGGGGACAGCAGGGGGCTGGAGGGTTCGTCAGCGGGGGCCGGCGAGGCCGCGGGGCCCTGCTCCCCATCTGTCTCCTTCTCCTCCAGCGTGGACATGAGGGTGTTGTCGCCACTCAGGGAGCTGGTGTCCGCCTGGGAACAGTGGGGGACAGAGGACTGGGCTTCTCTTATGCTCCATTCACCCCCACCCTGACCTCACCCTGCTGGGGAAGAAGCTCAGTTGGGGGAGGGGAGGGCTGCTTTCCTGCTGGCACAAGCCACCCAGCCCCTCAAAATTCTGGCCACATGTGTCCTGGTGCCTTAGGCTAACTGAGCTATCTGAGAACAAGTTACTAAAAACTGGTTTGGAATTTGTGACCTAAGTCAGGAAAGTTCAAAAGCCCCTCTGAGCAGCTTTATTTCACTGTGAAGAAGCGGGACATATGCAGGCTTCCGTGTGTGGCCACCGCCCTGCCCTGTGGCGCCATCCCTCCTCTTAGGCCTACGGGCTCCTCTTCTGGGAACAGTGGGCTCGGTGGCTTCCCTAAGACCTCGCTCTGGGAGCCCGGCTGCCTGAGGTGGGCCAGGGAAAACGGAGCGGCGCTAAAGGACAGTGTGGGTGTGAAGGGGCAGGGAGAGTGTAGACCCCTACCATGTGTGGGGGTGTTCATCCAGGCACTAACACAGCATCTCCCCAACCCCAGCCTCTGCTCACCTCCCCAGGCTCCCTGGCACCCCGCCTCTTCCATGCACGTACCCAGCACCCTCACCTCCGTGGGGCCTCCGCCGGCACCCAGGTTGTAGCTGAGCTCCCCTCGGAGGCCCTGGCTGAAGCGAGGGGCAAACTCGGGGTACAGTGCCAGGCTTTCGTGCAGCCCAGCCAGCTGCAGACACTGCAGGACGCAGTACGTCAGCCCTTTCACGTCCGCATTGGCCTTGACCACCTGCTCACGCCGGGGCAGCTCACAGCCGATCAGATCGCCCTTCCCTGGGGAGAGGAGGCAGAGGCAGTGAGCCTGCCCCTCGGCCTCGATGGAGGGAAGTCAAATGGAGGCTGCTGAGCTTCCTTCACGGGCTGGGGCTTTCCAGCCAGCCCCCCCCCCCCTGTGGGGCCAGGACAGAGAGGCACAGAGGGGCCATTATAGACAGTTTGTTGATCCCTTCTCTGTAAGAGATTCTGGGGAAAGAAAGCCTTCTCTGGTAGCTGACGGCTATATTTCACACCTAACAACTAACTGAAGGTACTGTTATTGAACACTGTGGCCCAGGCGCTCTAGCACACGGGATCAGAGCCCCTGTGCTGACACACACCCAAAGTTTCCCCGAGACCAGTGAGCAGTCACCAATTCCAGGGGCTCCAGGCATGCCCCAGGATCGGCATGCTCTGGGAAAGTTAAAACAGACTCCCAGGCCTCATTCCTATCTACAGAACCAGAGTATCCACGGGAGACCCACCATCCGATGTTTTCCAGCCTCACAGTTGATTCAGGTGTAGCTTCTCCGGGAACAGTGTGGAACCAGCAGGTTAGCAGCCCATGTGGCCATGAAAATGCCAGGCAGTCATGTACGGGGAGCCCTGACGCCTAGTCTCTACAATAGATCCTGCACTGAACTGAGGCTGTGGTGCTTTCTTGATCTTACCAGCAGGTGTCAATGAAGAGTTTCCCACCACCTGCTGACTGCCACCTGGCTGACAGGGATTGTGAATCCGTATCCTAATCTCAGGAATGTTAAACGGTGGGGGGAAATGTATGTCTTGGAATCAATGAAATGCGGTGTCTCTGAACAAGGATGTGGTGAAGATTAAATCAGTTAGTGGAGATGAAGTGCCTGACATATGGACCATCAATCAAAACTCATTTCCTTTCCTCCCCTGCCCACAAGAGTCCCCTGTAGATCCTTCCAACGGGGACGGTGCGCCATCCGGGATTGGACGGGCACTCGCTGCCCTCACAGCCAGCTCAGCCACAGCCGGTCCGTTCACACGATCAGGAAGCGTTTTCTCATCCCGCGGGAAGGTGGATCGCTGCCACCCGCGCCGTGGGCTGCCTCATGCTGCCGGCAGAGCCCGAAATGTTCATGGACTTTTGCTCAAACTTAAGACTAGAATGCATCACTGATAAATCTTATTCTCTTGGTATCAGGCCATCCTTCTGGCTCCTTCTGAGAGCTGTTTGGACCTCAGTGTTTGGATCATCTGATGAATGAGCTCTCTCTCCTCATGTGTGTCATCTGGAAATAGAATGAGTGTATATTTCTTGTCTTCATCCAGGAGGTGAAATAAAAATGAGAAACTGGTCAGGAGCAAAGACAGAGTTTGGTGCCACTGGTCTCAGGGACCAGCGACCACCCTCCAGGCTGGCAGCTCAGCAGAGCCTCCCGCTCAAGCTCATCAAGATCCTCCTGACACCACAGTCCAGCCCACCTCTTTGGCTTGCCTTCTTCCTCCCCCGCAGCGGAGCTTGCACATGCTTAGCTGTTGGTTCACACACACAGGGAGGGGCCGGAGTTGACACTGCGAGATGAACGGTGGGCCTTAGCTGCCAGGAGCAGGCAGGAGGCACTGGATGTTCAACTAAGGAAGCAGGTGGGAGGTTGGAGGAAGGCAAAGCAGCGAACCAGGCCGCGGGGAACCAGGCATTCTCTGGGCACCCACAGTGGCCAAGTCAACAGAGGAAACAGGTCATTCGGAACATATGGGCAGGGGCAGGACAGGTCAAAGGTGAAATAAGTCCCGGTGCTGGGGACATTCTGGAGGCAAAGGCCCGGGGTGAAGGCGGTGGTCATTCTTGAGGTTCCGTCTCAATTCTGAACGTGGCTGTTCTGAGACCTGGTGCCTGGCATCATGAAGACGTGTTCTTGCAGGACCGGTGCCAGCTCCCAGCCACACTGCTTCCTCGCTGCGAGCTGAAGCCATCTGTTTAATAATCCACTTGACAATCTTGCTTTGGGGTGACCAGTCTGCAATGATCAAAATCTGTCTTTTCACCCTTCTCAGCTCTCCAGTTCCCCACAGGTTCTCAAGGACTGACAGACACATGTGAGCAGCCATTAACTCTGCCTGCTCAGAGTCCTGGCAGGAACTGCATCTGGCCCCGAAGCCAAACTCAGGAATGACACAGGTAAAGGGTGAAGAAGCCTCTCCCTCTCTCAGTTCCAAGACCTGTGCCCCTCGAGAGGGAGAGGATGGACACACAGTAGCTGCCGGCATCTGGTCATCCTGGTTCTCCAGATGATACACAGCGCAGCTGCTCCAGGCATCACTGTCCCCACAGAGAGCCTACAAGTGCTTGGCTGCTTGAGGATTCGGCTGTGGTTAGGGTGCCCCCTCCTTTCCGTCCAGTCCCTTCCCGCGTGCAAGGAAGGCCCTCTGGGGTCACTGCAGGCAGCCTCTCACAGCCCCGCTGCCATGCAGCCGTGTTTCCCGGATGCTCGGATGTGCTACACGTCAGGGCCTCCTGAAGCAAAGCCCTTTCCTCAGTGCAGTCTCCGCAGAGCAGAGCGCCGGGCAGCGCAGAGTGCGGAGCCTGAGGTTACAGCTGGGCAGACGAGCGCTAAGCCAGCCTGTCAGCTCATTAACCTCTGTCTCCTTCTGTGTAAAATAGAAATGACAACACTTCCTCCCCCTAGGTTTTGACATTTGCTTGAGAGGAAGGTGCAAGCTGGCCTGGCTGTGAGACCCCGCGTCAGCACTATTATGATGCTGATTCCATAGCTGCAGCTTCTTCCTCCTTGTCTAGGAGTGGATCCTTCCTCTTCACCTCTGTCCTTTTCCAAGAAAGGAGCACACACGCTGCGTCTGAGCTCCGCCGTCCTCCCTCCGGGCCCTGGGCTTGCTGTCATCTGCCCTGGGGGAGTGGCATCTCTCGCCCCGCCCGATGGTGGTGGGAGGCCCACAGAGATAACTCCCCCAGCCCTTCCCGAACACTCTCCAGGGCTTACATCCTCAGCATTGAATTTCCTCCTTGTCAGAAAGTGCTGCTCACCCGTCTCCCATCATATGCGAAAGACTGACTGGTCCTCCACTCACTCTGGCCTCTGACACCTCTAAATCGGTTCCACCTCCTTCTGTTGCCACCGTATGGTCACCAGGCCCATGGTGAGCTCTTCCCGGGGCTGCATGGCCGCTCCGTGGCTGCTCCCGGCTCCATCCTGGCTCTCTCTCCAGGCGGCCTTCCTGGGCCCCCTCTCTGGATTTTCTGCACACGGGCCACCTGCCTCCCACACGCCCTCCCCCGCCCTCACGAACCTAGGATGGCGAGCACGGTGCCCCCCTTGAGCACCTCCATGGAGCCGGAGCAGACGAAGTAGAGGGCCTGGAGAGCGTCGCCCTGGTGGATGAGGTACTCGCCCGGCGTGCAGAAGGCGGGCCGAAGGGCCAGGGACAGCGCCCGCAGGCAGCCCCGGCTTGCCGCCTCGAACAGCGGCAGCTGCAGGACCTCCTTGTGCAGGTGCATGGCGATGTCTGCCCGAAGCTCATCAGGAAGGCTCTGCAGCAGCTGCCGGTGGGGAGCAGAGGAAAGGGCTAGGGTGGCAGAAAGGGAGGCAGTCCAACCTGCCCCACAGGAACTGGCCATTGAGGGGCTCTCTGCCTCCCTCTCAGCCCCTCCGGCCCCTCCATGAGAGCCCAGCTTTCCTCCTCCAGACCTAACGAGAGTGGAGAGGGGCCTCCAAGCCTTCCTGGCTGCCCTCTGCCCCTTGCCGCTGTCCCTCTCCCCTCCCCAGGAGCGCGCGAAGGCAGGGAGGCCAGAATTCTGCGTTCCCTGCCTCCCAGCCGGCTCCCGAGAGCCTTAGACCAGCTGCACACCCCGGAGGAGCGAAGCTGGAAGGGCCAGCCGGAGGCCTGCGCACCTCTGTGGTGTCGATGCCGTTGTTCACGGCCCAGGTCGCCTGGAAGTACTCGAGCATGCGCTGCTTGAGGGGCTTGGGGATGCGGTGGATGCGGATGTAGTCGCGCAGGTCGCGGGTGCGGCTGTGGTACAGAAAGCGGCGGGCGTACATGCGCTGGATGATGGCCGTCACGTTCCCAAACACCACTGCGTGCATCAGGGCTGGGGAGGGTGGCGAGAGGGGGTCACCGGCCTGGCCCAGCCTGACACCACACTGCACACATCTGTCCACCCCCCTCCCCCATCCTGCACAGGCTCCTGGGAAAGGCACAGGGCTGCGCTGTGTGGCAGGGAGGCCTGCAGCCAGTGGGCTCTCCTGGCCTTGGCCTCAAGCTCCTTGGGCCCCTAAAATGGAAGGACCTCTGGGAAGACCCTTGGGGACCTGGGAGAGGTGGAGAGGGCGGGGCCCCCTGGGCCAGAAGTCTGGGAGGGGTCCCAGAGAAGGCAGGCCTCACCCCCGATGAGCATGGTGCAGATGGAGAAGATCTTCTCCGTGTCCGTGTTGGCAGACACGTTGCCGAAGCCCACGCTGGTGAGGCTGCTGAGCGCGAAGTAGAGGGAGGTGATGTAGGCACTGCGCAGTGACGGGCCGCCCAGGAGCTCCAGCCCCGTGCTGTTGGCCTCGCTGCTGCAGTTGTCACTCTGGCCGGAACTGTTCGCTCCGCCCGGGCTCCGGCCCACCAGGTAGTAGGGGGTCTCCAGGCGGCGGGCCAGCTCCTGCAGCCAGCCTGGGAAGGGGGCAGGGGGCCTGGGTCAGCAGGACAGCATGCCACGCTGTGCGTGCGTGTACGCCAGCTGGTAGCCCCGGGGAGATCTACCACATGATTTCCCTCCACCATCCTCCTCTGCCCGCCCAGTGCTCTCCTCTCCAGCCCCTCGGCCCTCAGCAAGACAAGCACACGAGGCTGAGGCCGAGGCTGCCATCTCCCCTGCTGGCATCTCTTGGTGCCGAGGATGGAGTAAGGGGCACTGTCCCCTCTCCCCACAGCTGGCACTAACCTCAGACCACTGTCCCAGGGCTGGATGGGTGAGGCCACTTCCTCTGCCCTGTCCACTCATCTTTGAACTTGCTTCATCCTTGCCCACAACCACACACACCACTCAACTTCACACACGTTCTCAAGCACAGCAACATGGGTATGCACATAACCACCACTGAGGCTATCCACGTGCTCCCAGTCAGGGGGGCAAGGACACACATGTGAGCACGTCCACAGAGGCACCGCCACGCCACTCACAGGCTGCACAGGTGCTTGCACACTGGTGCCCAGGTTGGGGAGGGGACACACTCGCACGGATACAAGCACAAGGTGAGGACACTCAAAGGCCACCGGCAGGCAGGCACCTGTGCACACCAGAGGCCCTCAGCACACAGGCAGACACAGAGCAGCCTGGTGGGCGGGGCGGAGGCCAAGATCATCCCCATCTCCCATCAACCCCACACTCTCCGGGCTCCCCTTGGCAGGAGGGGGGAGCAGAGGGACCTACCTCTCCACAGGCACCTGCCCCTCCCACCTCAACACCCTAGTCCCCCTGCTCCACACTCTCCCACACATCTTACACATGTTGCCCCCCCCCCCCCACGATCCCAACTCTCCTCCTCTCACCCACCCACCCATTCATTCATTCGGCAGCCCTCTGCAGGGCCAGGAGCTGCGGGTCCCACCGGAGCTTCCTGCAGGGCAGGAGCTGCGCCTCAGAGAGCCACACGACGGGGCGCAAACCACCGTCTATGGGCCACGGCTAGAGGGCTTCCTGGGAGAGGAGACATCTGACCTTGGTCTTAGAGGATGGACAGAGTTTTGATACAAAGAAACTGAGGTGGGGAGGCCATTCCTGATCTAGGGAAAGGCATGAGCAAAATCTCAAGATGGAAACACACAGGGGCATCAAATTCCAGACCAAGGAATTTGGGGGGCTGGGAGAAGGCCTGAGCCAAGGTGAGACGCCCCCTCCTGTCACTTAGGTGCTCTGTGAGAATGCAGGGGAGCACGCAAAACTCTTCGTCATTAGTTGGGTGAAGCCAGTGGCCAGGCGAGGAGGGTCGGGGGTGGGGGAGAAGCAGGAGCACAGGGTGGGGTGGCAGAGGAGCCTCTCCTCATCATGGCGGGGCCCCCAGACGGGGGTCAGGCCAGCAGAGTCTGTTCTGGAGGCTGGAGACCTTCACACTGTGAACTGGCCTGAGTGAGCCCCTCAGGACTGAGCACAGCCCTCTGGAAACCCAGCCCATCTCCACTGGGCTCATGGAACCTGGGGCAGGAGCCTGTGTCCGCACCACGGGCAGTGGACCAGGCGCCCAAGGCAGGGAAGCCACAGGAAGGTGACTCCTGCAGACAGCGGGGCCAGCAGGGCTGGGCTTTGGGAGTCTGGCTGTGGCTCCACCCCAGGTTGGTAGTTTCCCTGGACGAAGAAGGTGGAGGTGATGACCCGAAGAACTTGGAGACAACCCAGATGAGACCCAGTGCCAGCCCCAAATAGAACAAAAGTACTCTGGAACTTAAGGTTCAAGGGTACAAGAATGGCCAGGTACATCTACAATAATCCGCCAGCCCTCACATCACCAGGCCCTCCCTGTTGGACGCAGAGCCCTCTGGGAGCCAAAAGAGTTAGCAATGTCGGCTCCTCAGCCCCTGTGAAGTAGCCAGGACAGGAGAGCCACATGGACCAAGACCCAGGGCGCCTGGGTCCCCTTTGGGGACGGAGGGGCGGGCCAGGAATTTGGGGTCTCAGCCCACTTTGGGGTCAGCCTTCCTGTCCCCGTTATCCATCTCTTGGCTGTATGTCCGCTGACTGGCCGTCTGAACCCAGAGCAGCCTCCACACAGCCCCTCTGGGGAGGGCAGGCGCCCAGGAGCTGAGCCTGCCTGGAGCGCCTGTGTGCTCGGTGACTACAGCGCCTGGGGAACGTCCGGGGGGCCCTCTGACTGCACCGGCTCTCCGGGCTGAGGAGAGAGCACTCACAGGAGCCTCCTCACCCCTGGGAACGGACCAGAGGAGGCTTCGAAGGCCAACCTGGGTCCCACCAAGGAGTGGGCAGTCATGACAGGCTGTCTGAGCAGCTGATCCCTTACCGCTGACTGGGAACTAGTGCGAACAGCCAGCACTGGAGGGCTGGAGGGCCGGGAGGAAGACCGGGGTGTTACATTTTGGAGCTGCAAGTGTGGAGAGTTAGAAATGGCTGGGACAGAACGGTTTGGCGTCAGAGAGGAAAAAAAGGAAGATGTCCACGTAGCGATGCCAGGGGGACTGCCAGGGAGAACAAGGTGAGAGGACAGGAGCGATCTGAGGAAAGCTCGGAGCTGAGGGGCGGGAGCAGGAGGAGGCCCAGCCCAGGGCAGAGGGGACATTTCGAAAGAGCGTGTTTGGCAGGGTCAGGTGCGACAGGGACTTCAAGGGGACGAGGGTCTGGCCCCAGAAGGTCGCCGTGACCTGTGGGATGACATTTTGGGTGACGTCTTGGGATGAGACTAGAGCTGGGAGCTCTCCCAGCAGGAGTTCAGATGTGAGTGGGAGGTAAGCAGAGGGAGGAGTTGTGAAAGTGGAGGTGAAATGAAGGAGAGTGAAGACACTGGTGGGATGTGGAAAAAGACCGAGTTTTAGGCTGGAGGAGGGCTGAGAAGCAGCGAGAGAGATGCAGCCTGGAGGTGACAAGAGCGGGGAAGGAGGCTTAGGAGCCAAGATGTTGGGGATGAGCTTCAGAGAAGGTACCAGGAAAGTGCCAGGCATCGGGGAACCCTGGAGGGCACTGGCTTCCTGCACAGCCTTCTCCAACTGGGCAGGGGCTTGAAGAATGTGATTAAAGTTTGGCCACAAGGAGGCCATTATGGGTGAATTAGACTCCTCCAGGCAGCCCACCAGGCTTTCTCCACAAGGCCCAGCTGCTGGAGAACAGGCCTATTAGGAGGGGATGGCTGGCACACTCAGACACATACCACCCCCACATTTTTCTCACAAACACAGGTCTACTTGCATCCATGTTGCTGTGACACACACATACAAGCACACACACACGCACACTTTTACTCATCTCTGACCAGCTCACAAACACGCCCTGACAGAGACACATGCATTCACACTTCCCTGACACACATACCCTCGAGTAGACACACTCCTGGGCACATACGTACGCACACTCGAAAGCCCCCTCCCCAGCCCAGCCTCGCCACCCCAGTACCTATCTCGGGCAGCTCAGACGCGCTGCTCTCGATCTCCTGCTGGCCGATATAGAACCAGACGCAGGCCACCCAGTGGGCGAGCAGGGCGAACACGGCCATGAGCAGGGTCAGCACCACGGCGCTGTACTGCGAGTAGCGGTCCAGCCGCGGGAGCAGGCGCAGCAGGCGCAGCAGCCGCACCGTCTTCAGCAGGTGGGCCCCGAAGTACTGAGGCGGGGGTGGGGGAGAGGTCACTCCGGGGCCAGCCCCCACTGGCCCAGCCCAAAGCCCACCCTGCCCGGCCACACTGACCACGTTGACCTTGAAGGCATGCAGCAGGTCAAAGGGCAGGGCCGCGATGACGTCGAGCAGGAACCAGGTGGTCACGTAGTGGAGGCAAATGGACTTGGGAGCGAACACCACCTGGCCGGACTTGGACACGAAAGTGGTCCGGAAGTTCAGCACGATGTCTGCGGAAGGCCCGGGGGGCTCGTGTCAGGGTGGGGAGGAGCCACCTTGGCGGGGCACCAGCTTGTTATCGGACACTCTCCTGGGCCCATGACCTGTGGTAACTCCAACAGGTGAACACTGCTAGGCCCATTTGATGGAGAAAGACACTGAGGCTCGGAGAGGCCATGACTGGCTCAGGGTCCCACAGCCCGTGAGTGGTAGAGACACACTTGGAACCCGGGTCTGAGTTCAAAGCCCACAAGTCACACACAGGAGGAGGGCCATGCGGGCGGACTGTCCCCATGGAGCCCGAGGGGCAGCTGGCATGGGTTGGGCGGGAGGCACGGAGGGCACCTACCGAGAATGAAGAGGACCTCCACCGCCAGGTCGCAGACGCTGGGGGGGCCGCGGGCGGCGCTGGGCTCCCGGGCTGTGCTCACGCACACGCTGTAGGGCACCGTGACAGCCACGTAGAGGGTGGCGAGCAGGATGAAGCCGTCCCAAGTGGCCCTCAGCGCCCCGCAGTGCAGCAGGATGAAAGGGGACTTCCGGATGGCGGCTACTTTGTATTCAGGCAAGTTTGGCTTCTCCCCAAACACCTTCTGAGTGAGGCAGGGCAGGTCCGGGCAGGGTGGCAGGAAATGGGTACAGACTGAGTTTGGATAGGTTCCAGGACAGGCTTCCATCTTCTTTCCCTCCCTGTGTTCTCAAAGTAACCTCTGACAGAGGCATGTGAGTCCCCACATTGCAGAGCAGAAGACTGAGGATTAGGGAGGTCAGGTGGCTTAGCTAAGGTCCCTCAGCTGTTTAGGAGCGGAGCCAGGATTGAGCCAAAAGCCCCTCTGATCCCAGGGCCAAGACGCTCCTCTGTATTTTTGGGGGATCATGCATATAACAGTCTCCCCCTCAGTCACAATCCCAAAGCACTGGTGGGGCCTATGTGGTCCCCTGGACATTCTCAGTCCCCCCCTCCGCCTCCTCAGCCTGTCTCTACCCTGGCCCAACCCCCAGACGCACACCCCGGTGCTCAACCCACCTTATTGAGCTTGTGCTTGCCCTTGGGTTGCTTCTGCAGGTGCCCGGACAGGTGGTAGAGCACAGCCCGGCTCCGCCGCCGGTTGGCATTGAAGCCTTTGGCTCCTGCCCGGCCGTATCGGCGCCGGCGACCTGCAAAAGAAGAGGGGCCCATGGGGACGACGGCGGATGGTCTTGGGTGTAAGATACGAGCTGCTGGTCCGTGGGCAGGTCTGGCTCACTGACTAGTGTGTTTAGAGCTGGAGGCTCTGGCATTCCTCACTTCCTGGGATCACTTGCACCCCCGGCAAAGGGCAATCCTACGGGTGCTGACAGACACCCAGGCCTGAGGCTCTCCCCAGGGAAAGGCCAGGGGACAGAGGGGAGAGTGGTCCCTGGGGCTGGGGGAGTGCAGAGCAAGCAGAAGGCCATTAGGCAGAGACGCAGAAGCTCAGAGAAGGGCTCCAGGGTGCAGGTGCAGGGACCACCGAGGACTTACCTTGTGAGAGGCTGACTAAGGGCTGGGGGAGGGGGGAAATGAGGAATGGAGACCACCCAACACCCCTGAGGCAGAGGCCTTGGAGCAGGTTGGCATGACAGCCTGGTGAGCTGTCTAAGGGCCTTCCCCAGCCTGGGAGGACACAAGGGGGCAAGACGCCAAGGAATCAGAGGAGGGCTTTGGCCAGGGCTCCCCAGGCGGGCATGTGAGGAAAGGCCCGGGGCTGGGGGTTGTGCTCAGCCTCACTAACTGGTCAGAGAATGGAACTTCACAGGCACTAAAGGAGTTTGCTTTCAATTTCTTATTGAGTTTGACTTCAAAACTCCAACTGTACACCTTTGCTGGTGTTGCTGAGTTGGTAGAGCACTCACTGCCCACGCACCTAAAGGTCTCGGATTCAACTCCCAGTCAAGGGCACACCAATCAATGTATGTCTCTCACATCCATGTTTCTCTCCATCTCTCTGCCCTTCTGTCTCTCTCTCTTTCCCCTCCCTCCTATTCTCTCTCTAAAAAAAGAAAAAAAATCAATGGAAAAAATATCCTCAGGTGAGGATTAATAACAAAACTAAAAAAACCCTCCAACTGTATGGCCACCAGTCTATTTGGAAACAGGCTTTCATCCCGGGCCATGTGAAGAGGAGACAGCACAGGCCTCTCAGCCAGCAGAGTGGGCGCCAGCAGAGTGGAAGTGGGTGGGGACACCCACCAGCCCAGGCCTGAGGTGACCACCCACCAGCCACCGAAGTTACATCAATGGCCCCACAGGCACCTACCTGTCTCCTTCCATTTGTCAGGGCCCCCTCGGTTCTTGATGTCGCTGATGTCCTTGTGAGAGACCAGGAAGAGGGCCACCTCCCCCTTCTCATTCTTGATGGGTATCACATCCAGCAGACACCAGAACGGGAGCCCTGGGCACAAAGACAGACTCAGCCCCGCTCCCTGCTCCACGCTGCCCACGGCGACAGAGGCTCCGCCGACACCCACGGGAGACACGGCGGGGCCCGGGAGGGCAGCAGCAGCTGCTCCACTTCGGACCGTTGTGATGGAACAGGGTGGGAGAAAGCAAGGGAGAGCAGGGGTGACTGTCAGACATGTGTGTTCACAGGTCTGTCCTACTGACACTGGGACGTTTTCCTGCCGGGGTGGGGAACCCAAGATGGGAAACTGGATGGAGGCTAGGGATGGGGTGAGGATGGAAGAGAGGAGGGCCAGGATGGGGTGGTGGAGGAAGAGGAGGTGGGTATGTGGGAAGTTAGAATGAGATGGAGAGACGGGGAAGATGAGAATGGGAAGGAGGGATGAAGGATGGGGGTGCCCGTCTGGGGAAAACCGAAGAGGCGCCAGGTGGCCCCTCACCACTCTTCCGGTAAAGGATCAGCTCGGCCTTGAACTCCTTGTGCTCGTCCAGGGCCTTGCGGATCTGCTGGCGGACGAGCTCACTGGTGTCCGGCCCATAGAGGAAGGAGCAGGCACAGCCCCGCTGCATGACTTCAGCCCGGGAGAAGCCCGTGAGGTCACAGAAGCCATCAGAGCAGTAGACCACAGGGAAGAGCCCCGCCACCTGGGCATTGCCCAGCACGAAGTTACTGTCTGCAAGAGAGCGCCTCTCAGAGGAAGCACGGGATAGAGGCTCAGGGTCCACCCCCCCTCCTTTCCAGTAAAGGAGGGCTTTCTAAAACCCAGGAATCGTGTGTGTGTGTGCTGGGGTGTGTGTGTGTTGGGGTGTGGACCGGGTTAGGCAGGAACCGTTTGTGAATAGGAATGAGTGTGTCACCTGTGTCAGTGCCCCACTCTCTGCAGTGTGTGTATGAGTGCATTTGAGAATCAGCACATATGAACACTGAGGTTGGTGAATGCAGCCCGGGGTGGGCACTGTGCCCTCTGGAGTGTGTCCTGAGCAGCTTGGGGCAAGGGGTGGGTTTGGGGAGGCTCACAGGAGGGCCAGCCTCAGCCCCACCCTACCTCTGCCAGGCTCACTCACCCGCCTGGCACCCGATTTGGCTACGTGGCTCCTCCCGCTGGGCCCCACCTGTACCGAGAGGCAGTCCAGGCGGCCCTGTGTTTGAGCCCCAGCTGGGTGCCCTGGCTCAGGAATGAATGAATGTGATCCAGGATGAGCGTGTAAGAATGGGAGCTGACTATGGAGTCTGGAGCCAGAAATGCATTGGGAAGTGGGGGTGCGGAATCAGCAGGCTGCAGGAGCCAAGCACACAACAAAGCAGATGGAGAAGGGGGGGGGGGGGGCGGGCTTGAAGAAGGGCTCCCACCGGCTTTCTATCAGGGAGAGGAGACCATGGAGGGCGCTAGGCAGGGAGATGGGGAGCCCCACGGGGGGTGGGGGGAGAGAGCATGAGGGAGGAGGAGTGGGAAGGGGGCTTTCAAGATTTTCCCTGTGCTCAGACCTCAGGAACCCACAATCTAGAAGCTCTGGTCGCCTTCCCCAAACTTCCCCAGTCTTGCTGGTAGTCTCCAAATCTCCCTTTTTGGGGCTAGTGGGCTCGGTGGGTTCAGGCGGTCAGGTCCCACCTACTCTGTCTCCGTTTGCGAACCTCTTGTCTAAATCTTGTTTTTTGAGCCCCCAACCCCCACCCTGCAGCTGTCCCTGAGCACCGGGCCCGCCTCGCCCGCTACCCGGCCGGATGGAGGTAGAGGTGTTGGTGGTGGGGTTCAGTGACCGGACGGGTGAGGCTGGCTGGGTTGGGGTCGCGCCTCAGCCAACAGACGACATCCCGGCCCCAATCCCGGAGACCTCCAGCCCTTTCCCCAGCCCGGGTCGGTGCTGATTCTAAACCTGGGGGCGGCGGGGAGGACGGGCGTCCGGAAGGAGCGGAGGGCTCGGTGAGAGCCGGAGCCGGTGGGGGCGGAGCGGGGGGAGGGGGGAGACGGGAGGCGGCACCGGGAGGTGCGGGGCTAGGACCCGCGGAACCCCGGGCGGGGCGGCCGCTCAGGAGCCAGCGGGGAGGGGGACTCAGGGAGACTCACGCGTGCCGTCGAAGCGCGTGGCGATGGTGTCCAGGAAGGTGTTCTGCGGCGCCAGGAGCCCCCGCATGGCCGGCATCTTAGGCGGCCGCGGCCGCCCGCCCCATCCCTCCGGGGCGCGGGGACTCAGGGCGGGAGGAGGGCGCCCCGCTCGGCCGCCCCCCGCCGGGCCCCGCGCCCCTCACCGCAGCTGCCGGGGGACGGCGCCCGTCCCGGGCTCGCAGGCCCCGCCGGCCGCGCGCGCGCCAGGGGCCGTCCCCGCCATCGGGGCCCGGGGCATGGCGCGCGGCCCCTCGCGCCCCGGCCGCCGCGGACCCCGGGCTCCGGCTGCGCTCCAGGCACCTTCCGCTCGCAACGGCGGCCGCGGCTCCGGCTCCGGCTGCAGCGCGGCTCCCGCCCCGGGCTCGGCTGGGCGCCGGGTCCCCGCAGCTCCCTCCGTCTGTCGGGGAGAAGCGGCAGCCTCCCTCCCTGGGGCGCCCGCCGCCTGCACCGGGGTAACCATGGCGACCAGGCACACCCAGGCAGGGCCGCCTCCTTAAAGGGACAGGACTCCCACCGCGGGAACCCCTCCCCGGGGGACCTCGGTGGGAGCCGGGGAGGCGGCGGCCCTCCAGTCCCCACGCCGCCCGGACCGCCCCTCGGAGGACGACGGGCGGGCGCCGGGTTTGGCAGGGGCTGCTCCGCCGCGGGGAGAGGCGTCTCTCTCTGCCGCGGGGACTGAGGAGCGGCTGGGGCTGGCAGGTGGGGGCGGGAGGGAAGGGAGAGGATGCTTTCCCCGAGGAAATGATCATAGGAAAAGGGGCTGGGGCACGAGCGCAGCAGGTGAAGGCCGGGTAGTCGGCGGAGGTTGGCACTCCTAGAGGGATTCCCGCTGTGCAGGGGCAGTCTAAAGGCGGTTGGGGGTGTGGGTGGGTTCTGAACACGGCTTCTGGGCAGGCAAGCCTTCCTCAGCCTCTACTTGACCCCTGGAAAATGGATCGCTCCATCCAGAGCAGATGCCGCTGCAGCCGGGAGCTCCCTGGGAAACTGGAGGGTGGGCAGCCCTGGGAAGAGGGTTCACACGCCCCCGGTGCGCGCTCCGGGGTGGAAAGGGCATGTGTGTGCGCGGATGGGGGGAGGCGAGACCCTTTGCCTTGCCCCTATGTTTCTATTATTCATCACCTATCGCTCCCAGGCTGCACTAGAGGGTCAGGGTGCAAACCCCGGGGACCGGCAGGTAGACGCCAGGCGCGGGTTAGGAACTTCCTCACCGAGCACGTGGGTCCCGGCGAGCCCGGACTCAGGAAGACCCCGCCTCCGCTCCCCGCCCCCCTTCAACCCCCGAGGACTCGGCTTAGCTCTGGAGGGGAAGCTGGCAGAGGTGGGGTGCGGCGGCCCCGGAGACCATCCCCCTCGGGTGCGGAGTTGGGGAGGAGGCGGCCTGAGCAGTCAGTCTCCTGCTCGGCTCTGCCGCTGCGGCGGTGTCCCGGCCTCGCGCTGCCAGCGCCGCTCCGCCTCCCACGGTTTGCAAGTGAGCACGGCTACCGCCCGCGCCCGGAGGAGCCGCCGGGGCCAACACAGCAATTTGTTCCCGAACGATGGCGGCTTCGCACTCCCCACCCCTCTGGAAGATACACCCAGTGTCACCAGTGTCAGGAAGGAGAGTCCGCCGCCCCGCCTACCACGAGGGCCAAAGCCCCAGCACCTGTATTCAAATGAACCGGTGCCCTGGGGAGGAGAGAGAGGAAGCGTCCTCCGCCCCCAGCCCTCTGATTCCTGTTCCCAGGAAGAAAGCCTAACAAGGAGTCTGCGGAGCATGCTCCCCACCTCCACTCCCACCCCCGCGAGGGTCCTGGCTGTCCCACCCCCACGAGGGTCCTGGGCTGCAAAGTAACCCCTCCCCTCGCCGCTCCTCTGTGCTTCTCCGGGTGCCGTCCAGTCTCTCAAAGGAGAGGGTGCAGGTTAGATAGAGGTCAGCTCACTTTGAAGCCGGGATGAGGCAGTCCGTGGTGGAGAGCACCCACCAACTTGGGAACAAAACTAGGTCTGAAAATAGCTCTGCCTCTTACTGTGTGTGATTTTCCTTCTGTGTGAAATGGGGATGATAATGACCCTTCGGAGGATTGTTAGGATGAAATGAGTAAAAGGCCTAGAACAATGTGTGACATGTGCATCATGCAAATGTTGATCGGATTTTGAATTTTATAGGAAGCCTGGTGAAATAGGCATGGTAGTGCTAGCTGCACTCCCTTTCACAAACGAGGAAACAGGTCGAGGCATATCGTTTTTACCAACTTGGTTACTTCCAGCAAGTCTTCTCTATCTCTATATTGTTACCTAAGTCCTTAAGATCTTCCTGCCTTTTCTTTCCACCTCCCCCAACCCCCAAACACAGACAAGGGGCAGGGACCCACATCAAGGAGACAGTCAAGTGGGGATTAGGGAGCTGAACGGAGCACTGTGAGGTGGTTGAGCGCTGGCTTCCTCACTGTAACCTGTTTTCTCCTCCCCTCCCCACGGCGCCACTCATTCAGCCATGGTGGGTGTCACAGGGCGAGGAAGGCTGAGGGAGAGCCCTGTTCAGAGACAGCTCAAAGCCACCGTCAACAAGCTCAGGAGGCTGCCTTTTGGAGCTGCCGTGGGAGGTCTGTGGGAGTATTATCTACAAAAGGAACAAGGAGAGAAGGGAAGAGCAAAGCAAGGGGGTAAAAAATTCAAGACACAAAAGATGGAAAAAGTCCCCCTCCCCCAGGCGCAGTAGGAGTTAGTCTCAGTGTGCAGTGTGGGTGAGAACAGGTGGCTGTCGAGGAATAGAGCCCAGGGCCCCTCCCTTCTCCACTCTTCCTCCCCTCCTTTCTGGAGATCCTGCCTTCTGTTTCTGGGCCAGTGTGGCCATGGCCTGCGTCTAAGGCCGTGTGGTGTGGTGGGAAAATCTCAGGCTCTCAAGTCACAGTGGTATGGGTTCTACTTCTCTCACTGAACAAAAAGCTCAGTGAGTGACCTTGGGCAGGATGGGTGTTCATCTCACAGAGCATCAGTCCCTTCATTTGTAATGATCTTTTCTCAGAGGACTGTTGGGTTTAGAAAGTGGTAGCAATTGCTGTTAAATGTTCCCCTGAACGCTTGCTCTGGCCTTAGGTGCCAGGACCACTGAAATGAGCTCAGAATAAAGCCTCACTGAAGGTTCCCCTTCCCCACCAAAACAATTAAAACATTTTGGAATACTTTGAGGCCTTCAGTACTTGGCCATCTCTTGGGTGTCTCATTATAGACCATTCCTTTTATTTATTTTTTTATGTTCAGTGATGTTTACTATAGCATTGTCCATTATTGTTTACACTTTATTTTACAATTACAGTTTACATTCAGTAGTACTTTGTATTAGTTTCAGGTGTGCAGCATAGTGGTTAGATAATCCTATACTTTACAAAGCCATTTTTCTTTTCTTTTAGTGGGTGATCCTAGCCACTGTGAGAAAATAACAATGAACTGTCAAACAAGGAAATCCCGGAAGGTCCATGGTTTTATTAACAAGAACCTGTTTTATGTCTCATGGCTAGCAGTGGTGGGACCATGTCTGAACCAAGGTTTGACTGGGTTGATAGCACTGTGCTCCTGTCCACACTGCTGCGGGCTTGGTCCTGTCCTTTGGTAAACTGCCTATAAAAAGGCAACCGTGCGGTTATTTTGATGGGTGGTCAGTTGGTGACCTGCAGTGAATGCCCACCGTAAAACAGCACCCTGGCGGCCACGCCCTGCCTGCTGGAGGGCAGGCTACCACTGCCTTGCCTGCAGCCAGCGAGGGAGTGAGGCCGAGAAACCTCAATCTCTATGTTCTAGCAGCACCAGAAAATGGGTTTGTTGGAAATCAAGTTACAGAGAAAGCCTAACTGGGTTAAGCTGAAGAGCATAGAAGGGAGACCTGACTTTTCCCTGAGGCATCGGAGTGGGTGGTACTCATTCCTGCTGTTTTGACAGCAGTGAAGGGGCGGGTGGACTGCGGAACAGCTGTGCTGGTTGTGGTGGTGGGTGCGTTTCCTCACCCAGGAAAATCTTCTTCAGATGGCGTTTCCTCCTTGGTGAGGAGCAGCAATGCAGGTAATAAAATCCCCTCCACACGGGTATGAAGTAACATCCCGTCTCTCCCCTGGGAAACACTGCCCTGCCCTCCTCCACTCCTGGATGCTGCTGTCCTGGTTGTTGTGCGTGAGCAACTGGCCTGCCCCATCCAGAGCTCAGAAACTGAGGTGAGGGTGTGCTTTTCTGACAAGTATGACAGACAGACAAGAGGGGCACCAGGCTGGGGAGATACGCACTCAGGTGAGAAAAGCTACAAAAGGAATAGGATGACGTTATTTTTTTTGTAAGATCTGTATGACTAGAGTCAGGGGAAGTCTTTTCTCACTTTTTAACAGAGCAGGAAACACAAAAAGCAAAGCATTATTATGGTGAGGGAGCTTTCAATTGGTCACGGGTTAACTTAGACACTAGGGTATTGCTCAGCAGCCTGGCATAATAATGTAGTAGTTGCCATTGTCTCCACTTTATAGTTCACGAAGGTCCAAAGATATGATTTCCCCAAGGTTTGCTGCTCACATGACTACCAAGCTGTGAAGTCAGAATTAAAATCCAAGTGCGCGTCTCAGAAGTCCAGGGTCATTCCATTCTACCACACGGTCTAGCCACCAGGCACAGCTCCTAAGAGTTTAAGGAAGAGCTAAGAACTCTATTCCCTTCTCCTTCAAAGCAGCTGAGGCAAGAGCTAGCCTCAGAATTCAGCATAGTGCCTAGTACATACTAGGTACCTCACTGTTTGAAGGAAAAAAATGTGCTTTAGTCAAGTTGACTGATTTTACCAGATCAGCATTATGGTTAAAATAGTGACAAAATAGCCCTAACTGGTTTGGCTCAGTGGACAGAGCATCATCGGCCTGCGGACTCAAGGATCCCAGGTTCAATTCTGATCAAGGGCGTGTACTTTTGTTGCGGGCACATACCCAGTAGGGAATATTCAGGAGGCAGATGATCGATGTCTCTCATCGAGGTTTCTAACTCTCTATCCCTCTCCCTTCCTCTCTGCAAAAAAGTAAATAAAAAAAAAAGTGGTAATTTTTTTAAAAAAGTGTCAAATGAGCTCCTTGTGACCTGCACACAGGTATCATTTTGGAACCTGTTTCTTCCATGAAGAGTGCTGCTGTATGGATGTAACCCTCACCAGGTGGGGCAAGAAGTTAGGATGAACCCAATCAGGCAAGACAAAGCCTCATGTTGTTAAGGCAGAAATTCCAGTGGCAACAAGTCATTATTCTACTGATCTCCTAACGTAGTTATCCTGTTTTGTCTGTACCCTGGTTTGGTATTCTGAAATAAGGCCACCTTACCTATAAACCACTGAACAAACGCCTGATCACCCCTTGCCCAGTTCTAGTTTAAGTGTAGGATCCAACCCGTAAAGTGGTGCTTCCCCCATTTCACTCAGAAGAGACCATGGCTCATTCATGCAACACTATTACCTTGTATTATTTTATCTGTATGTCTCAGTTGCCCCAACAGGCTTATCAACTCCTTGAAGGGATGCGTTTTAGTTTACCTTTGTTTTTCCTCAGCTTTGGGCTCAGCACCTGTACTAAGAACTCCC